TGGTCCAACATTCGCCTAATTCTACATGTGCTAACTCGAAAACCGTGTGTTATTGGATTCACAGATTAAACCCAACCCTTACTGTCGATATTTTGACGACATCTTTGTCATCGAGTCGAGACGAAGATCACATGATTGAACTGCACGCGGCTTTAGAACGCAATTCCGTTTTGCCGTTCACTTATGAATGCGGGCAAAATCACACGTTTCATTTACAGGACATACTTGTGCAAGACGATACTAGTTCGTTGGTCACTAAAGTTTATCGGAAACCTACAGACGTCGGAAAGATCCTGGACGATGAAAGCGAATGTCCCCAGCGCTACAAAATCAGCACCACACGCGTCCTTATACATAGAGCGTTCAAGACCTGTACATCTGCTCGTGACTTGAAACTGAATTCCGGACCTGCAAGCAGATTCCTGTTAACTACGGTTATGCGAACTAAACTATTGACATAGGGTGGCCTAGTGGTTAAAGTTCAGATTACCAAGATTGGCGCAGAGAGGCGCGGGTTCGATCCCAGCTCTGTGCGCCAGTTTCTGGTCAGAATCGGCAAGGAGGCCGGGCGGTTAAGCACAGCAGAGTTTGAATCGGTGAGTTGTGAGTTCGAGACCGCAACAAGCTGTGGATGTTCTGCGATGTTAAGAATCGGCGACAGGCCTATGGCCTAATAAACGCTGAAACCGCTATTATTATTATTATTATATTATTATAGAAATTTCAAATTTTCGCGCACGTCAAAACCGAACAGTTGAATCCACATCACGAGGTTGATTCAACAGAATTTAATATCGAAACCAAATGAACAGCGGTCATAGGATAGAGTGATAGACGAACGAGTCCTCGATTCAATTCTGAAAAATAACATCAGCTGCGCAACAGTAAATAACCAAATAAAACTTTCGATTTACTACAAAAACAAAAAGATAAAGAACTTAATCACGAAAAATAATCCATGTAAAAAGTCCGGACCGCTGCAAGAGACCAATGTTATTTACAAATTCTCTTGATTGAAAGAACGTTGTAGACTTCTCCAAAATGTAAATTACATCTGTTTGACCAGCACGACATTGAGCAGCAGACTCAAATGCCATCTGCAAGCTAGAGGACAAAAGAATCATATGCGGGAGGCCCACAACAAGACCATCACCCGTGCTACGTTGGAGGCCTGCACCAGCATCGTCATGTGGTGCCCCGACGCTTCGAGACTGTCGATAGCGGAGGCTCTCATCATCAAGGACGTCTCCTATTACAATTTGCAAATCTTATCTGACCCTCTGTGCGCCAGTTTCTGGTCAGAATCGGCAAGGAGGCCGGGCGGTTAAGCAAAGCAGAATTGAAGCAGTGAGTTGCGTGTTCGAGACCATAACAAGCTGTGAATATTCAACGATGTTAAGAATCGGCGACAGGCCAACGGCCTAATGAACGCAGAAACCTCTGTTATTATTATTATTATTATAAAAATACTCTGAAAATAATATCAGCGTTCAAACGAATCCTGTAGTTTGGATGTAGATAACTGGAAATTCGCTCATGATAATGAGGGTCTCAGCTATCGCCAGTCACGAAGCATCAGGGTACCACATAACTATGCTTGTGCAGGCGTCCAATTTCACTCGGGTAATGGTCTCATTAAGAGTCTCCCGCATGTGGTTCTTAGGCCCTCCAGATTGTAGTTGGCATGTCAATGCCCCATACGGCGCAGTGCTAAAAGTGCTCAACCTTGAATAGCCCTTTATTAAACAATTATGCACAACATGATGTTATCTATATAATAAAATTAGGTAAATGAAAACATGTTTTGGCAAACCCAATAGAGATTAACCATATACCTAAGATAAAGCTCGGCGGAGTCAGAAAAACACAGTGGATGAACAATACGGTTAAAGCAAAGCTAAAAGCAAAGAAGGAAGCCTACAAGCGTTATTTACGAACTCGTAGCGATGTTGAGTATAACCTGTATGCTAGAGCTCGAAATCAAGCTAAAAAGGCTTGTCGCACCGCAGTCAAAAATTTTGAAAAAGACGTTGCCAAAAACTCGAAAAAGAACCCGAAAGCCTTCTTCTTGTATGCTAGTTCGAAGTGTAAGACAAGGGACGGTATTGCTGATTTGAATGTAAATCAACGGAAGATATCTTCTACTCGCTTCGAGTCACTGACATGTGGAACAGCCTCCCTGAAGATATTGTTGACGCTCCGAGTATGAACGCGTTCAAGAAGAGACGAGACGTAAGAACAGACTAGACAAGGCCATGCATGAGCATATGTTCAGTCTTAAAATGCCTCGTACCCTACGGAACAACTGATATCTAGAAGCGATTTTAAATCTACCGTCCGTAAGGCCAGTCTAGTCAAGAAAAGTACAAGAATCGGCGACAGGCCTATCCAGGCCTATTTATTTAATGCCGAAGATACTTTACTATACTACTATACTATACTATATTTAAAATTAGCGGAATTCGTCTTACCGCGGTAGTTCACAGATTAGTTTTTCGCCACCAGAGAAGTTCTCCTGGTGCTCGACCGCGACGTACCTAACCTGTTCTAACCGTTGAGGCAAGAGGTACTTTGTGCTGAGATCCCGTGACAGTAGCCCGCTTCGGCCGGCTGCTACGTCATCTTTCTGGAACTATGTATCTTTCTCGAACTTTGAAAATGCCGTGCTGTCCCGGCCAGTCCCGCTCCGAGGCGTTGAGCCGGCGAATGGTACGACCAGCTCCAGCTAAAGTGAAGTTTAACTCCTGAACACGGTGAACACCTATAAATGCTCCTGGCATCTAACTGCAAAATTCGTTACAAAGATTTTAAGATGCCTCCAAGTGTGGTTAGTGCCGGGAAGCCTGCCGAAGACCACCACTGCCCTGGATGTAATGGACTATCATGACTCCTGCCATCCGGAACGTAGCCTTCAAAGTTCAACACTTCTGAAAAATCATATAGGCAGCCGAAAGCCACCAGACAGAACGAATCAATTGAATTAGACCCATAGTGGCAAAGCAGAGAGTTTTTTAGACACTCCCTCAAGTTCATTTTTGAGTCCTATAAGTAGACCAGTAAAGTATCCTGGATACCAGCATCATCATATATAAGAAATTGGTTCAAATCTTGGGTAATGAGGAAATTAAAAATGAACTGATTCTAAAAAATCTCTGGTTTGTCACTATGATTAGACCAATCAGCCCTCAGGAGAAACAGCCGGCGATCGAATGGCCTAGCGTCATCCGCCGTACCGCGAAAAAATTGTACACCACTCGGACGTAGCGCGCCGGAGCCTTGCAGCGAATGCGATATCCGCCACCAAGCCGTCCGTATCTAGGCAGTGCGTCGAACCAGCCCTCGGTCGAACGCCCGCGGGTCGAACGCTCCAGCCGGACCAGCCCCTCCAGGCGAGTGCTAACCCAACCTAACCTAACCTAACCTAACCTGACTCAGCCAGTCGCACGGCTCTTTCGACCGATGGCCTGGTGGTGCACGGCAGGTTTTATGCGGGGCCGGAGGTGGGCAAATCCAAGTGGTCGCAGGCTGTTGCGCGCAAGTTGCAATTCAAGCGGTGGCCAGGGTATTAACTTAAGTGATGCTTTGAGCCTTTGACGCAACGTTCAGTGGTGGATGGCCATTTGACCCTAGGCTATTCGACCTCGTGTCTGGGGGGTGTGGAGCTCAAAATATTCAAAGCAGAAGGATGTCAATGATCGGTTACAGATAGCAGATTCCATTCACGGCTGATTGGTGGATGTCCGGAAAGATCCAAGGCGTTCGATTCAGGGCTTATTGGTGTACAAAATTTGTGGTGCACGGCTGCGTTCCCGTTAGTGCCCCCAGGTTTGTGGTTAGTGCCCCCAGGTGGCCAGGTGAGTGGTTAGTGTCCCCACCCTCCCAGCCCCAGCCCCAGGTAGTGGAATCACTAGTGGTTAGTGTCCCCAGGGCCCAGGTAGTGGTTAGTGTCCCCCAGGTGAATGGTTAGTGTCCCTAGGTGAGTGGTTAGTGTCCCCAGGTAGTGGTTAGTGTCCCCGGACCCCAGGTGAGTGGTTAGTGTCCCCAGGTTCCAGCCTTCCAGGGCCTGGTGTGGGGCTATCTGGAGTGGGGCTTTCTGCCCTGGAGTGGGACTATGAGACTATCTGCTCTGGAGTGGGACTATCTACCCTGGAGTCAGTGGAGTGGGACTATCTACCCTGGAGTGGGGCTATCTGCCCTGGAGTGGGGCTATCTGCCCTCTAGTGGGGCTATCTGCCCGTGCTCTGGAGTGGGGCTATCTGCCCTGGGCCTGGAGTGGGGCTATCTGCCCTGGAGAGAGGCTTTCTGCCCTGGAGAGAGGCTTTCTGCCCTGGAGTGGGACTATCTGCCCTGGAGTGGGGCTTTCTGCCCTGGAGTGGTGCAGTGGTGCTCTCTGCCCCTGTGTGGTCTCCTCTTTGGTGACCCCGTTCTGTAGCCTTTCAGTCATTGAGAAATCTTGAGTTTTTTTTTCAAGACACCCAATTTTGTACATGAAAACAAAATTCTGTCAAATTTCTTGAATTGTTCTGACATGGGGCCGCATTGAACCAGTCTTCAGAGGCTCCCATAAATTCCAATTAAAGAAAAGATGACTGCAACGTAGCAAAAGGCTCAAGTTAAGCGCAAAATATACAGCTATTTTATTGTGAAATGTGAAGTAATCGGTTAGGTGGTTGTGGTGAGAAGAGGTAGTCCTTATTAACGCTCTCCTCTTCCATCCTCGTAAATAATTAGTTGTATGCTAAAATTCAATTTCTTCAAAAGCACAAAAATTAATGCGTTAGACGGTTAGGGGACCTCACATCACACCCACAGTGTTAGGTTACTAGGTAGGCCTAGTAGGTACTGTGTTAGAGACTATCCTTCCTCTAGGTAGGAGTATAGGCTCAAAATTCTGCAAATATGGTGGCACATAGAAATACTTCAAGTTCCAACTATGGGGGGTTGCTCTTGAATAAAGTTTTATGATTGTTCTAATATGATGGTCTTATTTCCTCACTAGTACAATTTTCAGAAACTGCAACTATGGCAAATTTGCCATTGAGCTCTGCTGCTTTCTCTAAGCCAGCATATTTTGAATTCCTTCTGAAGCCCTCTATGCTGGAAGATCATCTCAATCAGCCTGATCCTGGTAAGAGCAAATTTTATCTGCCTTATATGTATTAGTATATGATATATACTACCTATTTTATATAGCCTATATATATTTTATGATATGTTTTTATATCTCTGTTAAATGTTTGTTCTTTCCATGTACTAGGTAAGGCTATTAAGTATTAAACACTAAAAATTAGTGATGAATTAGTTTTTTCTGTAATCTGTTGCCTAGTAGGCCTAGTACCCTTAAAATTATAACAAACATATGAAAATAATTTACTAAATCTTTGTTCTTAAATTGTTTTAGGTACATAAACTGCTTGTCATGTTGAATGAATTTATCACCGTAACTAATGTCTCATTGATTTTTATAGACCCGAGCCCTATAGAACTGATGGCACAAATGGTATGCAACAGTCTTAAACGACCAGCCTCTGAGGTAAGTTGCTCATAGACATCATGTTTCTATTTTGCATAATTATTTAAGTTTATATTCTATGCCATCATTTGTCCAATGTTATAAGTATATTAGTCATTATTCTTTGCCTATTTTTGTTCTAGAATATCTTTTAAATTTTCATTTAAAAATATTTCTAGAAATTCATGCTTTATGTTTTATATTTATAGGTTTCAATTTTTTCTCACAGTAATTTCTATGTACTTAGATCCAAATGGGCCTGCTGGTGCTGAATAATGCTGTGGATGTAGGTAGTTGTTGCTTGAAGTTTTTAGGATATTGCTAAGTTGAGTAAAAATAAGTTTTTTCTTGCAGCAAACTATAGGCAACCACTCTGATGTTGAGCTCATGCAGCGTAAAGGTCACATGCTCATAGTCCTACCGTTACGCATCCTGGCCCATCTAAATTTTGATCTACAGCTTCTTTTGGACAAGTAAGTGTTTGCTATGTTGAACTTAAATTATCATGTTCTCAATGGTCCTCAATATTAAATTAGTATTCTGTGAAATGTAATATTGAAAGTCTTGAACTGTATCAATTGTGTTGATTTTATTAATCCTTATTTGTAGGTTCATGCACTGAAAAGTTTTTGAAGATATATGTACTCTTGAACCACATTCTAGGTGCATTTGAAATTTTGATACCGTTTTGATGTAGCATTATCTTTTTCACATTCAGAGTGCCATTGGAAATTTGTGATGCCCTCCTGAACTACTTGATGGTAGAATGCCTTGGTTCTGCTGCTGCTGAGCTCACTCCCTCTTCCTGCACTGTTGACGTTGCAACCTTCCTGCCACACCAGGTATGTTTTGCATGAATGCATCCCTTGTACAGGAAATTTAGTGAAATAAATTAGCAAATGCATTGCTTTTCAGACTTGTACAAGTATTGTGTAGGTACTTTAAGTACATAGAATCGGAATCAGTAATTGAAATTTATTAATTTTATACTTGTAAAAGAACAATGAAACATTGGCATAAGCAAAGGAAAATATTGGCTTGTGAATGTCTAATTTAAATCTCTCCAAGATGCTAGAAAAATGTTTAGATCACAGTTGTGGTTTTAACTTCTTTATCTCTCAACTCTTTATCTCTCATTGCCATAGTTGGAGAAAGATATTGTTTGGTGGATAAACAGTTTACTGATTCATAAATATTAAACACGATGCTGTCTTTTATGTAGCATTGTGAATTTTATGTAGCATTTTTTATGTCAGGTGCTGGCTGCAAGTGCATATTTCCGTTACGTTCTTGCTGCTGTGGTGGCCTCGCGCGTGCCTCGGCCTCCTCAACATCGTGTCAACACCTACACGTTGTAAGTCTTCATTTTCAGCATGTATGAAGTTGGTTTTGAGAATAAAATGAAAAAGCTCAAGCAGCTGGGGTCCCCAAGGACTGGTAATACGTGACCACAGTAGAATTGTATCAGTCTTCGAGTCAGTGAAACACGATCAGGGACACGCACATGTATTTCAGTAGGAGGTTGGCACAAGAAGAGACCGATTGACGCGCCGCGACCTCCTAAGACAACTACGTGTCGCGGTCACGTCAACGCGTAGCAAAGCGTTAGGCTTAAACCTCGGTACATCTCCTCCTCCTTAAAAGATGGAGCCCCACCCTTAACTAGTACATTAAAATAAAGTACGCGTAAACCCGAGCATTAAAAGGTTGCCCGATTTACTTGTTCACGTTTTTTTTTTTAATAGGAATATTTATTAAAATTTACATGTACCAATCATCATGAAAAAAATTAAGAAGTTCAAAAACCCAACCTGTCTACAGGTTTGACTACCCTACCGAACCGTGAGGTATAAAGCGGTTTTTCCGTCAATTTCTGTACTTGTGGTGGGACACCCAGCGGAGGGGCACAACCCTTGTCTTGCTGCCCCGCACAGGGCTCCTCACACAAGAAGAGACCGATTGACGCGCCGCGACCTCCTAAGACAACTACGTGTCGCGGTCACGTCAACGCGTAGCAAAGCGTTAGGCTTAAACCTCGGTACAAGAATTATGCTCTCCAAAGTTATTTACTTGCTGCCCTCAGACCACCAAGAGTCTTGGTTACACCCGCGCTCCCGTATCTGGCATCAACTCAACCATGTTGCCCGTCGTAAGGTGGAGATTAGTAAATTCTTCCTAACCCGCAGCCATCACAGCGCCGATTGCTTCGTCTGCGGCAGAGCACCTGGGAGCCTCGGAATTTCTGCCAAAATCCTGAAAAGCGACAAACCAGTTCTGTTTCAGCCTCTCCATGGCCTTCTCCGCCTTTGCTTGGAACAGGGTTACATCCCCTAGGACATAAGAGATGCGAATACTGTCACGCTGTACATGAATAAAGGTGACTGAAGTGACTTTAACAGTTACTGGGGAATCTTCCTCAGCGTTGTTGTCAAGGTATTCGCCTGGGTCGCTCTCTCTCGCTTGTAGCTCCTCGCCGCTCGCGCCAACCCCGAATCCCAATAAGGCTGGTCGATCGACGGCAGACATGATTTTCTCCTAGTTTCAGCTACGGAAGAAGTGCCATGAGCTGCAGATGCCTCTCCCTCTCCACTTCGCCTTTATTGACTTCACAAAGGTGTTCGAGCTCGGTAGTCGCAGCGGACTTTACCGTTTGTTGCAGAAGATTGGCTGCTTTCCGCTATGGCTTGCGGTGGTCAAGTCCTTCCACGAAAACATGCACAGCACGTTCTGCTTCAACGGTGTGATCTCAGAGGCTCTTCCAGTGAGCAGCGGAGTGAAGCAGGGCTGCGTGCTCGCGCCCTTGCTCTTTGGCATCTTCTCCATGCTTCTCCTTTACGTCTTCGCGGAATGTAACGAGGGCGTCTACAGACACACCAGTCACGACTGCAAGCTCTTCAACATAGCTCGTCTTCAGGCCAAGACCGGGGTCATCAGGGGGCCGTATTATCAAAACTTCGAAGTACGCAAAATCGACTTACGAGTGGCGTAAGTGCTGATATGATGACGTAACTCTAGCGGTGGTATTATCAAAACATTTGCGCGGGAAGCTACGTAACGTAACTGTACGCCTGCTCGGAGATGTCGCAAGTGGAGTTCCGCGCAAGTTTAGTGTCTGCTGTAGCAATAGGAAACTATTGATTTACTAGCAAGTAGCAACACGGTGAATTGTGATAGAATTTTGTCAATAATCCGACGTATAACATATGATCGGTGCTTTTGGGATAAAAATATGAATTGCCTTTTGTGCTATAATTTACAAGCAAATGTTGATATTCATATCTTAGAGTTTTCTGATCATTCACTTGAACAATATCTTAATGCCTTTTTATTCAAAATTATATTGAGGTTGACAAGCCAACCATTTTTCTAGTTCTCTGTAAACAAATTTATTTCTTTTTATGACAGTCGCAACTCCAACTCACGAAATTTTCTAAATTCTTTGTAATCTTCCAAAAATTCTTCTAATTTTGAATGGGAATAATGCATTTATTTGCCCTTATAGCATGAAATTTCGGTTAATGATCACAACAACAAGTGCCTTGCTATTTGGATAACGTCTCACTCATTTATCCAAATACACCCTAGTCAGGCACCGCAAATGCCGCTTACACCACACATCCTACTTTCACCCAAGCGCACTGCGCACTGGTCGAGAGGAGCTTACTGGAGCTATAGGAAGAGCAAATAAAAAGCCTCTGATTGGTCAGTTAGCCGGATGGTTTTGATAATACGCATTTAGCTAATTCTAGTGTATGAAAGTTTTGATAATGCCAAAATAAGGGTGTACTTACGTAACACGTAACTTTTTGTCGTAAGTACAAAAAGTTACGAAGTTTTGATAATCCGGCCCCAGGGACCTAATCCGCAAGATGCTTTTTTCCGACGATACGACCTTGGCATCACATACCGAGGATAGGACTCCAGCAGCATCACCTCCTTTGCACATGCTTGAAGGGAGTTTGGCCTGATTATAAGCGTGGGAAAGGCTAAGATCCTGGCCCATTGCGCTGGGGTTCCACCGAGCATTGTTCTGGATGGTTACATTCTGAAGGTCGCCCTACCTATCTCTGGTCTACTATCTCTGGTTACCTATCTCTGGTCTACTATCTCTGGTTACCTATCTCTGGTCTACTATCTTCAGTTCGCTGTTCATCGACCCTAAGATTAACAGCAGTATTGCCAGGTCCGCTACATTCTTAGCGGCCTGACGAATTCAATCCTTGGCGTGTTTAAAACAACTCGAGCCTCACAGTGAAGACCAAGCTCTGCGTCCTCGGCACTCCTCTGTACGGTTGCGAGACATTGACCATTTTCGCGAGGCGGAAGGAAACTCGACGGCTTCCACATAAGGTGTCTTCGACGCATATTGTAGATCAGGGGGTATCTGGCTGGAATTCCAGGATAGTGCATAAAGCTTGTCATTTTTGGGCGGATACACTTCTAGAATTCCAGCCTGGGCGTCAGGACAGAGTTCCCAATTCTGTGGTGCTAGAGCGATCAAATGTAATCAGCCTGCTATCAGTCTCTGGTGGCTAAGGCATGTCAGTAGGATGGTCGCTGACCACATCACCATGGACCTCCTCTAAGGCGAGCTAGTGGAAGGCTGACGAAAAACGGGACTTGCAATCGTGCCATATCGATCCCCACCTTATGGGAGATTCAAGCAGCTAAACGCCGAGGCTGGAGACTTGTTGTCGGGCAGGCCGTGTCCTGCGCGGAGGTCGAGCGCCGCGTTAGCGACTCTCAAAGGAAGTTCAGACGGAAATGGCAGTTTATACAATTGCAACAGCCGCCTGCCTTCACTGGTGATGGGTGTGGTTTGGACTGTTAATCCATGGTTGATCTGTATAGCCAGTTTCGGCGATGCAGGCAGAGTCGATAGCTGATCCATCGTGTTCCGAGTAGGACGGATGACGATGACAACGACAATGAAAAATAAATGTTTGGAATTTTTTCTTTTTAAAATTGCATTGGTAGAATTTTGACTAATTATAATTCTTTTGATTTGACTTTTTAACATCATTGTGCCCTTTTGTTGACAATAGGCATTCTCATTCGTTTGGGTTGCATGCATCAAGACACTTGGTTGGCAAGTTGTAGTTCAAGCCGAGTTTGGCTGGGGGGCCGGCATCTAAAGTTCGGCGAGCAGGTGCGCCTTTATCTGTTGGCAGAATCTTAATTACTCCTCCATACAATATAATTTTTGACAACAGCCAATTAAAACCATGAGTTTGTTCATTGCTCTTTCATTAACGGAAAATTTCCGGTAGTCGAATATAATGCGGCGGGACAGAATAAAACTGGTCTAATATTTTTGTTTTTTAATTTCAATCAAATAAAAGTGATTGTTTGAGTTTTGTTTGTATATGTTTTTACGAAAATTTGCTTTTTTTGTACCTATATAATATTTTTCAATTTTTGCCGGCCTACCAACCTGTTTACATCAAAACGTGTTTTAGTGTTTATGTTGTGTTTTGGACTCATTGCATAAAATAAAGGTACAAACGTATGAATGCAAAGAGCAAATATATGTGTTGTTTGCAGGCCCAGTGAAGGTGTGACTGAGTACAGAGAAGACCGCGAGGCTCTGCTCGCTGAACTCGCTAGTAAAGCGGACTTTGCCGCACGCATGCTTGACACTCTTGTTGTGGGGGCGACTCAAGTAAGATCACATATAAAAGCGCACTTCTTTCACTTATGAGTTAGCTATGAATTTTTTATATCTTACTGTATTTTATCATGGATTGTCATGTCTAGCGTGTGGCAAATTTGTTTAAATTTCTTTGGATCGGTGCATAATTTATATACTTACCAATGATATAATTCTTAGTTGATGTTGATGTGTTTTCATGTCATATGAATTTTTATAAGCAACTTTTACTATGCTACGGCCAAGAAGGTTTTTTTCAAATCAGTTCACAGTGAGCTAAATCTTAGGTATGTGCGCCGACTCCCTCAAGTTTCTCGCTGGTGGTGCCGGGGCCAGGAGCACCCAAGGGCTCCACACACAACTTCAGCGCCGTTACGGAGGTGCCTCTGCAACACTTCAAATGTCAGGTCCGTGAAGTCACACCTTAAACCACCTGTTATATGAACTAATTTAAAATGTTTCAACTACCAAATTCGTTATTTCACGCCTTCTTAAATGAACGGCACTTTGATGCAACCATTCAGGAATATTAACATTATGGTATCGGTACTTCTGTTCTTATAAATAGTCTCATTATTTTAAAGTTATCTCAGAAAATGGGTTGCATATGAAACTCAATTTGCAAGTGCGCCATGAAGATAATAGTTTTTAAAATAATAAATTTCGCACAATTATTTGGTCGATTAGGAAATATTTTTGTTTGCATGGTGCATGCGAAGTACTTGGTGCCTTTTTAGCATGGAGTATTGAAACCTGCTTGCAGGTCCACTACGACTTGGGTCTTTTCCACTTCGTGACGGAGCGCTACAACGACGCCTTCCACCACTTCACACAAGCCACTTCAATCTTCAGCAACCTACCAGCCAACCCTGGTGGGCTTCCGGGGCAACTGCTCTGTTACGGGTGTCTAATTTACTCTCAAATGGGCCTTATCAGTTTGACGTAAACATTTTAATTAAATGATCACAACATTTTATTTGATTATGATGATTTGATTTCGGAACAATAATATTAAATTGTATTTTATTTGTGTCTCTGTATAAATACAAGTTAGTGTATATATTTGTATACAACTATAACTAGATATTTCTCTAGTTTCCTTTCGAACACCCATAAGATGTACATAGTATTCTCATTCTCTATTTGCTGCTCTACTAAGACCAAACGAAGTAATGATAAATCTGCAAATTCAAACGAAGCGTTGATTTTATTTCTAAGCTGATATTTTTATGAAACTTGGTTTCTTTTTGTTTTATGCACAGTCGCCGTCAATTACCACTTTGTTTGTTAAAAAGTGCCTGCAATTGCAAAAACTCCCAGCCTACACCGTTTTCTCACGTCATTATTCAAATTAAATGCTTAAAAACTAAAGAAGCTTCTTGGTTTAAAGACGCATCCTCAAGTGTTACAAAGTTGCTTGTTGCATTTTTTCGCTTGTTAGTTCATGCAACTTCGATCACGAGCTTCATGTTATGAAATATATAATATTTCAATTAGCACAATAATGACCAGTAACACATATAATTAGTAAGAGAACAACTATAGGCTTAAATTTATGCAAAATGTTGTGAATGAACATATCTTGGTTAGTTAACTTAGTTTGGATCATAATATTGTGACACGCTCTTCTCACGTTGGCTGAAAACTAATCCTGATGTACTACAAAAATAATTGACGTTCAGCAGCGTGACCATTGCGTTGATGCCCCTTAGCAGAAATGAACAGAGCGCGGCCTTGCTTCTCGGTCTTAATGCCAAGCCCGCATACGAAAAAGATAAATAAAAACTCTTAATCGCTTGCTAGTGCTGTGCTCCATTAGGATCCTAGGCATTTATTCCTTGTTTGTGCCTATTTATCCCATCATGAACCAAAAGTGTAAGATGAACATGGTTGCTTTCTTGTGGCAGTTCATTGCCGCGTCGTGGCGTCAACCCTGGCAGCATACCAGAGCTGCTGTAGCGCCATCTGTGGACGCAGCACTCCTGTGCCTCAGCGCACGATGCTGGAGCGCTTCATGCACGCCACCACCGTCGCTCCGAACTATCAGGTCTCGCTCCTCGGCTATTAGCCTCCGTGCGAGCAACTTTAATTTTAAAGACTATAGTACATCAATGCGACGATCAAAAAATGAGTATCGCCATCGAATGACTTGGTATATTTATTTATATGTTACTTATTTATGTTTAAATTATTATAAAATCCTTATTTACTGAGTCGCTCCAAGTGAAAATCTTCAATGACTGTGTTAGTTTATGTTTTAGCCCCTGTTAGTTTATAAAGCTTAAAACATTAAGCCCTTGGAAATGAACTGTTAAACGGACTAGTTTCGAAATTATACCACTGCGTATACCAACCTGCCACTGATTAAACTCGTTCATGATTTACATCAATAGTGGGAAAATGTATAACAGGATGTCCTACTTCTTAGTAATGGTAACTTGATGGTGGCCATGACGTGCAGGGTCTGCTGGAGGTGCTGGGAGAAGACGATCTATGCCACGAGCTGCCGCGCTACCTGCGCCACAAACTGCAGGTGGATCTCATGGCGGCGCCTCCTCATACCACCACACAGGGGCTCTTCTTTCAGGTGCGTATTATGATCTATACATCCAACGGTCTTTGCAAAAAGCGTCGGTTTTTATATGAAAGATTTAAATTTGCCAGCGTAGGTTTGACATAATCTACTTTGCATATTATAGCAATTACACAATTATAAGGAGCACAGATCTTATCATATATTTCAGCTATTGAAGCTTCTGTATTTACAGTAATAGCATAGACGGCTAGGTTATCTTATTCCAGTAATTTATTTTTAAAATTTTCTCATGCCCCGGGATTTTCCAACCTGCGATCGTAATTTGAAGAAACGCTCGCATTGGTCTTCTATGAAACGATGTCAGTTGTGTTCAGACATTCGTAATTTTCAAAGTAATCGATCTTATTCTTCGAAGCTATAGAGCACAAGTCTGATCAAAATGCCGTCACGTGATATATATATATATATATATACATGAGGTTTGTTCCTACAAAAGTTATGCTCCTGACTTCATGTCTCGTGCTGACAGGTGTGCTGCCACAACGTTGTGCGAAGTGTGCTGGAGGGCAGAGTGTGGGAGCCCAGCTTCCCTGGGCATCTCGTCACGGCTGGAAAACAAGGCGCTCTCTACCTCCTACAGGTGACGCTCAACACATAAAATTAACATGCATTCATCGCCTTCTTTTCACTTGAACTATGTCAATCATTTATGCATAGGAAATCGAGCCCACTGAATTCGTCTTATATATTCATATCATCATATATTCGTCTTATCAATTGCTTTGCCTAAGGGCAGAATCATTGCAATAATTTATTGCCAGTCTCGTTGGCGTATTCATTTTAACATGATTTAGACTCACTGGGACTATTTCTTGACGAATTCCTGTTTTGTAACCCTAGCACATGTAATGTTATCACGAAATATTCTACTCCGTCAGTTGCTATCAGCAAAACTCTCCCAGCTGGGGTCTCAGCAGCGGGCGTGGGTGCACGAGTTTCTGGTCACCCTGAACCTGCAGGAAGGCGTGAGTGGGGCTCTCGTGCCGCCCTTGATGGCCACCGCGCCTCTCGCAAGCCTCTTCAGCCACCAGCAGATGCTCGACATGTGGCAGGGCGTCGAGGAAGAAAATCAGGCTAAAATTATGAGGCAGGCCATGGATGTCAACTACGGCGGTGAGTGGAGACTGTGAGGCAGGCCATTTAGGATAATTTAGTTGAAGAGTTTAGACCATGGCACCCCACAATTTCAAGATCCTGCTGACACTAAGTTAATATTGCAATCTTCTAATAATAAAAATAAGAAAGTTTTTTTTAAGGTTCTCATGCAAATTTATTGTTATTATTTGATTTCTGATGGATACTTTTTCAAAGACAAATCCTTGATTTCTGTTTATTTATAGGATCTGACCTCGTCTCATGTCGCGCAGCACAACATTCAACCATAACCTCAAGCCTCTTTCTAATCCTAAGTAACTGTACACATTCTCGCATGTCAAAGAATTTATGTGCCCCCGTAACTTGCGACGTTGTGTTACAGTGGAGGGCGGCGATGACGCTAGTTTGGTGTGGGAGGTGATTCATTCCCACGAGCCCGTGGCGCTGCGTCGTGCCGTCACGCGCTACACGGCCGCCCTGCAGCAGCAGCAGGCGCCGTACACCGACATTCTTGATCTCAATGACAAGGTCAGATTTGTTGTAGACATGCTTGTTTTCACGAGGGTAAGTGGATTACTTACGTGATTATGGCATGTGAACAACAAAACCTGCACACATATAATGTTTTGAACTCTTCGAGCTTATTTTTTGGAGAACATTATAGTTCTTCGCTAATTCTAATTCTTCACTAGGTATCTTTACAGAAGCAGTGATCAATTATTTTACTTTACCTAGTTAATTTAATCATTGTATTGCTTAGGAATTAAACTTTGTGTGTGTTATTGGTATTTCCCGTGCATCAATTATATAAATATCTCTTTTTATTTTCTATATTATATGATAATTATTTGTAATTAAAGAAATTACTTTTACTTAATGCTTTACTTAAGTCCAGAGCAGCATTGTTCGATTCATTCGCATGATGGTTTAATGCTCGTTGTTTACAGTGGGATATTCCAGTGCCCATTCGCAAGACTCTAAGCAAGATCCCGTCCACGCTACATCGCTTCCTCATCTCCGTTTTTGTTGCCAAGAGTCAAGAGCTGCTTCAGTCTAAGGTGACGTCAAACTATCGTACATCAATTCTGCACGCTAATGTATAATGGAGCTTTACAAATTATATAGGAAACGGGATTTCATTTTCGTTAATGCGAACTATAATTATTTTATTCTATCTTAACTAGTACATATAAAACTGACTATGATGTTGGATACCGCGCTAATAATACTATCTGAAACATTCAATTAATATTTTGTTGATTTTACTGGCAATCTCTAATGCACTATTAGAACTGAAGATAACAATCATTGCACCTTTACGTACTCGTATCTTCCAAATTTATTTAATTGCTATTTGTGGGCCAAAATCGCGACAACGACGAAGTTTATGCTTATTCTGCATTTGTTCTGCCTTCTGAAAGTTACTCATCAGCTACATTGGTCAAGTAGTACGTTCCTTATGTGCGTAATGTTGAATTGTGAACTACTGCCCCAGTTCAAGGATGTTCGTTGTGTAGACGGCTCGTTAACGTCTCATGGTGTTCCTCCAGAGCTGGGTGGAGTCGTGCGACTTGCTTGACGCGGCACTGAAGGCGTGCGGTGAGGTGGCTGAAGGTGAGCGCGGTGACGGCCCCAGACTTTACAAGCTCCTCACTTGGCTCAAACTCAGCCACAACATCGACAAGTGGATCTCAGCCTTACCTCACACCGACGGTCAGTGTAGCATCATGCATCGTTTTTGACGAGTGTATTCAGAAGATATACCTGATATTGTCTGGCATGTTTGCTGTATCTGGAATTAAGAGTATGCAATGTTTTCATGGAATGCTTCTTATTTTTGGTGACCTGGCATCATGTAAATGCGGTACACTTAATAATTCAGGTTTTGATTATATGATGAACTTTGAACTTTTGAAGTAGTTGTGAGCAACGGTTTTTTTTTTACTTCTGATGCGTATTTTTAGTCTGTGTTTGTATTGCTTTCTGCTTTAGGTATGAATGATTTACTGTAACAAAATTTAGGCGATTCAATGATACTGCAAATTTAAACTAATTTTTTACGGTTTTATTTACAAAAGAGGGTGGGAGCGGCCTGGCCAGCGAGGCAAAGTTGTGCCTCATGTCGCTTAATGGCAGGGAAGACGCTGTGCCGTGGACCGCCATAATCAGCAGGTAACTTGGAACCTGGAGGTCACACGATCGATGGTAATACCGTATCTCTGGAATATATTCTCTTGAATTATAAAAATCTTGCTGAACCTGGATGAATTATAAGTGCAGCGATGTTGTCTAGGTTCAATAAAGCTTTAATTTCTCTTTCAAACGCACTAATATCACCGATTCTCAAACTCTTGCTTGTCCAGATGATGTCGATTAAATCTATGTCTACCGAGCTCCAATAGACATTGGCTTAAGGCAGAATCAAGAAAATAAGATGATAAATCTATCTATTATGAGTTGAATTGAAATAACTAATAATTATCACTCGTGAGCAGATGCGTCATGTGCCTGGTTAACGTGCGTGACTGGGGTGGCGTAGCGAGCGTTGTGGCCGGTCTTCAGCTACCGCCGCCTTACCTGCCCGCCATGGCGGTCCTGCGACCGTTGCTTGCTGCCGCCCACATCCTCGACACCGGACCTCCTTATCACTTGGAGCCTCATTTCGCTCACTTGTGGGACTCCGTGGTCAACATCCTGGACTGTTCCTGCTCTCACAGGAAGTCGTCAAGCAGCAAGTCCGGGGAGCGGCAGTTACCGGAGGTTTTGCCGCTCGCCGACTTCTTGGAGCTCGTGTACAGTCTTAAGGAACCCACATGTCTGAGTCTTTTATGCTCGCTCCTAGGCGCCCTTCATAATAAACTTCTAGGAGACCCATCGGCCGAAGTTCATGCTCAACACAGTCAGCTTTGGCTTGGTCTTACGCCGTGCAAAGACACGGCTTCCAGAGAAGAATATCCCAAATACGTCAGAGAGACGCTAGAGGCTGTCGTAACTCATGCAATTAAATTCTTCCCCGGTGCTGACCACGTGAGTGGTCACTTGTGGTTTATGTAACAAATTATGAGTTTGTAATGTATGCCTTTATTCTGTAAGTCTTCAATGTGATTTACATAAGCTTCATTTTTACATTCTATCAACATGTTTTTTATTGCGGAAGAGATTAGGGATAATTTTTTGAAAATGTACTTTTTTTTACCAAGTATTCAATCAAAGAAGTTTTTTACCTGGATAACGACCTTTTAATTGGAAGACAGCGTTTTCTGCATTAGTTGTCTTAAATACACGTTTCCATATTTGTACAGGTAAGCGAATCTACCGCTACGTCTTGGCACGTGACTGCCGCCGACCTGAGTTACAACAGCGAGGAGCATCACCGAGCTTTGTGTCTGTACCTCACGGCCGTGTTCGTGGCGACCAACTTCTTGAGAAGTGATCCTGGCGACGACCTCACCGTGCACCTGGTGGGCGACCGCGCTATCAGGAGGATGGTGCGCTGCTGCATGACTCTCGGCTGCTATACGCAGGTATGTCAACACGGCATCTAATTTGGCTTCATACCATTAAATGCTACACAATTCTTGAAGTAAAAATTCTTCAAACTGTAATGCCATGAAAATAGTGGCATGAATATCATGCAATTTGTGACACAGTAAAGGAATTACTGTGTTGAAGACCACTCTTGTTTCGGTGAGTGGCAATAAAAGAAGCTTTATGTCGTGCAGGCTGGTCTGCTGTGTCAGTTTGTGGAACCCTTGGACTACAGCACGGCGCTGTGCTGCCTCCAGGACCGCAGCGGCGTCGACGCAATGGACGCGTACTACCACTGCCTCTGGGATGTCACGCTCATCGAGTTTATCATCAATGCTCATCAAAAGAAAGGCGAAATCCAGCGAAGAGACGCTGTTGTGAGTATATGTCTTCAAGTGGGATGCGCAGTTTTAGATAATACACGAGAAGTGGTAAAGACAATTTGAACTTGATGTTTTGTGCTAGGAGCACAGAAGTGAAATTTCCTACCATAAAGACAATTGGAACTAGCTCGTATGCATGGATTAAGATAGTTTGATCGCATTATTCGCAAATTAATCAGGAATTTAAAGGGCAAGAATATGCAAAAAATTCGATATATTTCCACTAACAAAGTTTTCAATGTAAATATGATAAATAATCTCGTAATTTGGTGGTTGGAACTTCACTTTCTGTTGTTCCGACGTCAGGTGTATTGAAGTTGATATTTGAAGTTAAGAATCAATTGAGTGGCTGTGCTTGCGCACAATTTTTAATTCAGCATCGTTTTCAGTTGAAAGTGATCGGGCAGCTTGAAATCAACAGCAACAACAACGAAGAAATTCAACGCGAGGCGGCCAAGGTTCGCAAACATCGCCTATTGCGCGCCCTCGCCAAGCAGTATCTCAGCTGAGTTGATATTACACTTGGGGTCTCGTTTGGTTCTCGTCCTCAGCCGTTAACCTGATTTTAATTTATATTCGGGGCTATATTGCAAAATTCAAATGTATGTTGGACTATCGTGTAAGTAGGTTCCAACCACGACTGACTACGCAATCTTCTCGATCTCATTTCGCTCTCAATTAATTTTTAAACTTTGAACACGGTCAACCATGTTCGCGCAACGATCTGAATTCATGTATGTTGTGCGCTTTGGTTAGCAAAATTTGCAATCAAGATGTTGTGCCATTTGAGTCTCGCAGCTTATTTCCTCGGATTTCCCGACTCGTAATCGTTTTCTATATTAGACACCACAAAATTTACGTACATGGAAAACGTTATGAATATTCGCTTCCTATAGAATGTCGGCAAGCATCCGCTCGATATTGAACTTGTACATCGATTACGCAGTTGAGTCTTGAAGGTATTCGTGGAGACCATGCGGGATTTTTTTTTGTTTATACATGAATCCAATATTACGTATTGTTTGTGCTGCTCAATCGAGCAAGGTTGGAACATAGTTGCAGGATGAAGATTTGCGAGTATTAAGCAATGTGTAATTCTGAAAATATATTTTATGTACTAACGAGTTGTATAGCTAACTCCCATCGTATGTAATGATAAGCGATGTTCCAATTGTAGAAAGCCATGATGATTAGATCTTTAAGCGAGCTGGAACTAGCTCGCATAGAACATGGAAAAATCGCCCCCTAGCGGCCGCTCACCGAGTATAGTAGGAGTTGAATACAAAATCAAAATTTGTCATTGAATCGATGTTGGCGATACCGAACACTGATTAAAATAACATTCATGGGCTACTGATGCACATAGGTATATCACGCTGTGCTTGAAAGGTAACTATGCATACGTAGGAAATGCAACGAACCATAACTTGTTTCACCGAATGTATTTTTGTGCGCGGCACAATAACTCTCAACTCCTGCCAACCCGTTACAACCATGAGTTAGCTAACGGAGTATTGCCGTCACCTACTCTTACTTTACATCTGTACCGGTAATTAATAATGCCAAGGAATAATCGTTGTGTAATTTGCGAAAGTAATTGGCCACGATTTAGCAGGATCTTAAGATCAATTTTTGAAGCACATTGGTAGCATTTAACACTTATATTCTATGAAAGATGGCTACAAAATCTATACTCACTACTTAGACTAGACCTTGACGAAAACCATTTGTCTACTTAAGATAACTCTGGTTTCCTGACCTGTCGATGCGAAGGTCTTTAAACATAGGTAATGCTTCAATCCGTAGACAATGGTTTAACTGAAACGAATATAGGAATGCATGTAATGTTGAGACATAAGTGACCGAAACAAAGCCTTCGTGTAAGGTTTGCATTATTCATATATTGACTTCAACATTCACTTAGGCTCTAATTTCGCCTCGGCAACGAGTCTCGACAGCGAATAGACTAGAAAAGCTAGGCGTTACACCGTAGACATTTCAACGTACACGGTTCTAGCCAGCTTCATTATTCGTCTCGGATGCAGAGTCAATTTTAATTCTAGTAGCGTCGTACTTGGGTATACGCGTCGTCACACTCGGTGTTCGGCCACGGGTATAGGAAGGGGCGAGATGGAGTCCGGGTCTGGTGGACGCGAGCCATTGCGCCTTCCTCCTCGTCACCAGCTGCGACGTCTCTCGAGGTCCTACTGAAGCAATTGGTCAGACGGCGAGCGGTGTCCTGTGATAAGGTTGGTGCCTGTAACTGGAGTAGTCGCGGTAGGCTCCGGCTGCCGCTACTATTATGATCTTTACAGCTGGATGCTGACAAATTCCAATCAGATGCCGTGCTGCTATGATGTCTTGTTCTGCTAGGTAGTGGCACGCATGAACTAAAATGTCTTCTAGATATTGGGCTGCTGTTAGGAGCTCGGGAACGGTGCGAATCTCTATTGTTATTTCCAAACTTCTTGCGTAAACTCGACTTTGTTTGCTTGTAATCATCACTTTTACTGCTGCATCTGCCACCACTTGCCCTAGCACCACAAGCCTGAGCTGCTCGGCTCAGCATGGACGAGGATCCACTGCCGCTGTATCCTTTCGCTATGAGGAGAGAATCACGAACAGCCGATGACCGGATGAAGTGTGACAACTCGTTGGAGTCTCTGGAGACGTCCAGCGAATTCTCCATCATAATCATCTGCTCTTTGTCCCAGCTTGAACCGCTAGGGCTGGTCGAACAGTGGGGGGCTATGAACGCGTCTTCATACCTGGCGACACGAGATGAGAGTTGCGAGAAACGTACTATACATGTCATCCTATCCGTCTTCTAGAAGATAAACAAATAAATTACGTTTTTCTGCGCACTTTATGTAGTTCAAGTAACAGTCATATAGTTTAAATTTTGCGTTTGGTAACAGACTGTTGAACTAAGAAGCAGAATCGCTCCATATTTAGCTTTTTAAACCTCATCATGATTCATGATGAATAATTATAATCTCAGTGATATCGATGATTGTTCTATTTACATACATAGCTCGAAGCTCGTATCTAATACCAATAAATAAAAATATACAGCTACTTTTTAAACAAAACTCGCATAACTGTATAATATTAGATATTGCTTCCTGCACTTGCGAAGAATCGGCAATATAAGGATGATAATAGAGCTCACTGACCGAGGAGGTTTTTCTGGGATGACAGAGCTGTAGTCGGGAGGTTGGTCGTCCAGTCCCAGCACCGTGTCGTAGCTCGGCGGCTTGTCGGAACTGCTCGACACCGCAGGGTGATTCAACTGAAATACATTTATGCGTCACAGTTATGTGGGGAATTAGATTTACAAGAAATAAATAAAGAAAACCTTATGAGCCTTGGGAAATCTAGAGAAGAAATAATGAACGATGATTAAAAGTAAGCGATGCTACAAACAGTGGAAGATAGGAATAGTAATAGCGGTTTCAGCTTTCATTTGGCCGTACGCCTGTCACTGATTCTTAACATCGCACAACTTTCACAGCTTGTTGCGGGTCTTTAACACGCAACTCGCCGCTGCAATTTTGCTTTGCACGCCCGGCCTCCTTGCCGATTCTGACCAGAAACTGGCGCACAGACTTGGCCACCCTAACTATTATAGATAAACTATCTACTACTCATCTTTGTGTTAAAATTTTCTGAAGTGGTACACTAAATGATTCTAAAACATAATTATCTACATATTAAGATATCGATAAAAATGTTTGAGAACTCAAAATTCGTGGAATCGTATAACCAAAATTATTATTGCTCTCCATCAATGGAGATGCTGCAACGAAATGCAGTCGTCACTTTTTCAAGCGAATAAAGTGGATATTACTTGACCGTTTCACACGTGACGATACGTATGGAGCGCGTAAAAAATTACACCTAACCTAACTAATTAATCAAATAACTCGACCGGCAAAAATGAGTAGCTATTGAAATCATTAAAATCGTAAACAAGTTAGTTTAGTGGCCAAATGTTTACTAGCGCTTCAGCTATTTAGCTATCTCGCACCGAAAGTCAAGATGAACATCACCATAGAGAAACAAATCATTTTCTTTACGCATAGATACGATTTTTAATGTAATGACAATTTACACCGCGGAACAATATGCCAATATGCACAAATGTCAAACTCAGTGGATTTAGTAGTATAATGGATTGATACGTAAGTTGCACCACCAGTTACTGCAAGTGATCCAAACAAAATCATGACGCACAAGTTACTTTAACTACAGAGGTTACTGCAAATAAACTCACGTTGGGTAACATATGCGACGTCACAAGGAAGAGCACAGGCGACTGTTGGTCCACGGCGCTGGCCGGCACTATCTTGCGCTCCTTGATGGTCATCCATGCCAGCCACCTGCAGTGGGTAAAGCTGATGAGAAACACAGCTAAGGAACCAACTCGGTGAAAAACATTCTTGTTCATTTGAAATTAATCAATGGGATATTTACATGAAATGCCTATAATTATAAAGCATCGTATCTAATCCGTTCAGATGCGTTATATTCTTACAAGTAAATGTGTTGCACGTAAAAAATATGTATTCAACAGTAATTCAGTCATTAATGAATATTGTAGTTGTTTACTGTTATTTTTTTTTATTAAATAATTGTACAAAAATTCTTAGCTCAGATGCATTATTGATTGAGCATACTTGAAATATACTCTACACTACACAGAAAATTTTAGTTTCTGCAACTTTTGTTGCAAATTTTTTTTCTGAAATATAATTTTTTTTTGCAAACTAAAGACGAATCAAGCTTGATAGCATCGTATTTGAAAAAAGATTTCCGAACAACATCCAGTTTCCACTATGAATTAAGCATCTAAATAGTATGAATTTCTTACACTAAAGCGACGACGATGAACAGCATTCCGATGTAAATGCACTGCGTGATGTTGCTGAGCATCATCGTCAGGCCGATGATAATGATGCCCGCTGCTATGGTGCGGTTAGTGCGCCTCTGCCAGACCGCTGATGACGTTGTTCTCGGTTGCATCTTGTCTTTCAGTGAATTCCGTTCAAGATCCGTCCGATCAAACACTCCGTACAAAGATTCCGCACAGGATCCGCCCGATCACTCAAGTCACTCGCCCGATCAACACTCAAGTGTTTTAGTAGAGTAGCTTTGCTTCAAGCCAAAAACAACTCACTTCTATGTTCATCACAGAGTGGAAAAATACAAATTATTTTCACAGTCCCAAAAAGTTATTAAATGATAATTTTTCAACACAAATAGGGCTGTAACACAGCAGCAACCACGTGTGGTCAACGCTGAATGGCTGCCTGCGACTCGCAGCACGCACGTCTTGCCAAGTCAGAGGCTACTCTAATAATGACTATACCCGGACCTCCAGCTGCAGACCAACGTGTAGTCTCCCGCCGAGTTGAATAAAGAGCAGGTAGAATGTACGACGCTAACTATTTTTAGAGAAACTGTACTGGACCGGTCGCATTTACTTGACAAGCTGTTCAAACTGAGAAAAGCGACCAATATCTCAAACAATGTTTAGGCCAATACACAGATTTCGTAATTTGTGATAATTTTTTAGACTGCTTAGCAGTTATCTTCAACAACTGTCGTACTGCGTAGCTTTGGTGCAGTTTGTAATTCGAATGTTTATTAATGGCAACAATAAATAAGATTGTGTCGTTGCTGCATGAAGCGTTACAACTTGCAGCTGTGTCATGTCAGCTCAGCTGATCACTCAGCAAGCTAAGCAAACGCTTGCACCTGCGAACAATCTGACCCACGACGAGGACGTTTTTTCTTGCCTGATCTTTGTGAAGTTAAATTGGAGAAGCGGCGCAAGCTTCTCTTGTTGCAGAAAAATGAGATGGGATGCCACCCCGTCTTTCAATTTCCTGTCGGAAGAAAAAAAATAATTACATTACAATTTAAAAATCAATTAAAAATCGGTTACATTTCATACTGAAATACTGTGGACATCAACTATATCCTCGAACTATACTGTATATGATTACAAAGAAAGGATCAGTATCACCCTAAAATACTCAGCTACCAAGTATTTCCAGTGACGTCGTTTGCACAGCACATGAGGGAGAAAATTTCAAATAAAGCAAAGGCGAGAAAGAAGAACAAAGACAGGAAGACTTGTAGGCAAATAAGGCAACGACGCCACGCATGACGTGCAAACACCGGCGGGCAGCAGCTGCGTTTCCGCCTTGCGTCTCGGAGTGGACGGAGACCGCCGGGACGAGGTTCTCAACTCCAGGGTTGCCAAGGTGAGAAGGAAGCTGGTAAGTCTTATACGGAATTTCCGGCACTAATTCAAATCTAACAATGTCTCTCCACTAATTTTACTCAAATTCACAGAGGAAATGCTCATAAAGTTACATAACGAATAAGACAAGTTGCAGAACAGGATTATTAACTAGCATCATATTTTGTTATTTATGGTGGACCAACAAAATATTACTCTCTACTTTCAAGAAAAATTACATAAATGTTTTTTCGGTTGGCATAGATCGACTCTGTAGCTGGATAACTTCGTCAAACATGAACTTTCGTTCATTAATGCAACGAGTCCCACGCAACCAAAAGTTGAGTCATAAGGATGGTCAACTTAGCCGGGGCCGCTGAGGGAAGGATGGGTGCAGCACTTCCGGCGACGTTTTTTCTCATTGCTAGCATCTGCCCAGGGCCGGGGCTTTGAGTAAAGGTACAATAGGGTGCATGATCAAATGACAATAATAGTTAGTTTCATCTTTCGTACTGCAAATTGGCACCAAACAACAATAAGAACACCAATTATCAAAATGGATTTAAACTTTTCTTTTAGATAGAAAAATGTCATTGATTGTAGTATTAGTCCCATAAAACGCGTAAAGGAGTTCTATAAACTGTCTTTATTCAATTTAGTTCCTGGTTATTCTTCCGTAATTTCTTGCATGAATTGCTATGTCCAATGCATTACGAAGGCAGTATCAATGATACGCGCTTTGTTCGCGCGGTAACAACCAGACGCCCACAGGTCCGCTTCACTGCAGGCCCAACAGCTGCCGTGCTGTTAAACCACATGTTGTTCCACTAAATATTGATCCTATCTCTCCCTTTGTGAACAACTATTAAACATTCATCAGTATGAATAAAATACATCGTTATCATTTAGACACCTTTGGACCCGTGTCGTTCTCATTATGTGCGCCATAACCCAATGCGATTACGGAGTAAAACGTCACGAATGAATTTTTCAAACGTAAGATAAAAACCATTGCATTTTCATCCCTGCGGATTTTATAGGAATATTATAATGATGAAAATTATTAATACATTTATTAAGTAAAAGTAAAACACACAAGGTAAGTAATCCCATATTGGTCGAGAACAAGCAGCGAAAGGTATTACTGAGAAAGGCCATGCACGGATGGCAAATAATAATCTTGCCAAGACTAGCATTAGTTCAAATGAACGATGTTATAATAAAAGCACAGTAGGCGTGCTCTGATAAAAAAGCGTGCCGAGCAGCATAGAGTAGAGTGAGTGCAACGTTGCACGGAAGGCATCAGGTTGCAGACGGGCGGCTCTACGCCTGCAGATCCTGTAACGCCGACCGGCCACACGTTTCCTGCCAGCTGACAACCCGCCGGAACCAACGACCAAACGCCTTAATATCAAAAATAGTTACGAGTTTTCAAATCCTTCGGCCAATCGGTGATCGCTTTTTAAGATAAACCCGCCCATCACAGACAAGAAATTAAACGCTCTACATGTATTTAGGCCGCTAGTGTACATAATCGGTTTTGACAGTACGGCTCCAGGAACAGGATTTGCTCTAACCCTACCCAACTTACAAGACCGAGTTCTATGCACCTTATAAAAAACATTAGCAATGTTTCGATGTAAAATAATAAAAGAGCATATATTGGAGAAAGTAACATAGTACCTAAACCACAATGGACTTTTTAAAATAAATTAAAATTATCTAACCATTAGCGAGGTTATGAATTCAAGCACTTTGGTTTCAGATAAGTGAGCCCACACAATTATTAATGCACAGATGGTAAAGAAGCATAATAACAGTTCATGTAAAACAGAATTTTCAGATAATTGTTATCCCTCTCGATAAGTTTCACGAAGAAATTGAAGGGAATATGATACTTTTTGTACGTATTGTGTAGAACACATTAACTGACCATCTCCAAAATTTTGACCAACATCAGTTCGAGTCACTCATAGATCTACTAGTACTCGTCATGGCGTCCATGATATGACAGGCGAGCAATGGTGTCAGGGCCTGCCGTGCGGTGAGCGGCACCATAAGCAGGTCGAGGCAAAAGGTGACGCGAGTTGAGGGTCATTATACTTCTTGGATGCACAAAAAAAAGGGAAAAAAACGAAATACCCGCAAGGATATTTCGTTTATACACAAAACGGTTACAAGGGTAACACAGAAATCTATACAAAAATATTTTGGGGATGAACACGGCAATGACGGGTTGCTAATCTTTAATCAACAGTTATGAATTGCATTGTATTCGCATGTCAATTTTTTGTTAAAAGTTCACAAGAACGTCTTAGGATAAATTTGTAAAATAGTATTCACGTATACCATACGCTGCCGAGTGCCTACTTAGCATATGTTTCAGTTATCCATAAAATTAGAGACTGCATTATTACAGGCTCGTTGGGCATCACTAGGATGGAAAACCCCTATTGTAACGAGAGGCGGAGCTGGCAGTCGCTGTAGGTCAAGCACAGAGCGCATGCACGCAGTGACGACACACGTACAGCTTGAGAAGAGCTCTTGAACAGCGGCGGCGAGTCTGGTGCCAGCGTTGAAAGTTTGTCGGTCAAACGAGAAGTCTAAATCCAGCCGTGCAGCAGCGCTTCGCACAACATGTTTACTTTCACTGTAAGTACTTCTCATGGAAAAAGCTGATCGAATTCACAGTGCAGGTCTTCTTGTAAGCGAATATGTCTTTCACACCAACCTCGCAGAAATATGACAAAAACACAGCTAAATATATTAAAAAGGCTTCACTAGTACAACCAAGATTAATATTTATTCTTTAATAAATTATTACCTAAATAGATTAGCCAATCACAAAGGTTTAATTGTCGGTAACGCGATGTTCATCACGCATAATCTCTATTGTACTATTATAGAAAATGTTTAAATGAACAAAAATATCAAAATAATACACGCAAACTTATGAACTCCTCTCCCGACGAGCATGTTTAAAGTTGAGTGGTCACGAAGAACAACATCTAAACAGCACTCAAATGTCATCAAACTATTGAAAAGGAGGACATCATTTTTTGAGAGGACATGATACGACTAATACACATAGGATTAAGCTACACGGAAGAGGCGAGGTTCGTGGGGATTACCTCGAGTCCGAGTGACGAAAAGCCTCCACGAAAGAAAGGAATTCTCGTAATGGCAGTCCGCAGTCGGATGTCTCCGTTCTACGGATTGAACTTCAGAACGGCGAGCCAACTCCTCTCCCATTATTCTATCAAGTTAAAGTGAAGACACAGCTCACTTGCTTACTGCTCAGCGTTTTTAACTTTTTAGTTATTGTGCAATTGGTACGCAAAAATATATTAGAATATTTGAAATCCGTTGTTCAACAAGACTTGAGCGAGGCTTTGAGGTTACTCAAACATTATAAAAAAGACGTACTTGCACGAGTTGAATCTACTCCACAACTATAAAGTTATCCCCACTAAATAAAAACACATTCAGGACCCAAAAGCTAGGATCCAAGGAGACATTAGAGACTCACTGAATATTTTCATTTGTTCACAAACTTACGTTTACCCATATCCTGATAGCTTGATGACATAAGTTCTCCCCTGTGCTTAAATTAAATGAAAATTTAACACAAATGAAATTGAAATTAGAGTAGAATAAGGGAGTACCCACCGTCAGAGAACAACAGTGCTGAGCCAGCAGACTTTGCCAAGGACCCGCAGCAGGCATATGAAGTTCCTTGATGAAACTCTTATAGCTAAACGACATAAATTGATTAAGTTCACAGCGCCACGTAAGTTAGTTCGATCATTATGAACGTCCGTATCAGAGTGTGGAGCCACTGTTTACACAGAGTTTGCATTCGCAAGATGAGTCGATGGTTAGATATTTGGTAATAGGAAGCACTCATCATAGACTCAGAAAAATGCGATGTGAGCATTATTTCCAAACGCCCAAGGTTATTGCAGTTTATTAGCGTCTAATTTGATGGCACACAGACACACTCTTGTCTATATTCATACAAGAATTGAAAATATCAACCTGATTTATAAAAATACACTGTATTACGTCTCAGATCCGTCTAAATGAGTGTGAAGAGAAACCGGATGACTAGAATCCCAGAGTAGCAGCCTATATATATGTATATTTTATTTCACAATTGAAAGGTTGGCCATTGCTTTAGAATTAAACGAGCGCAATAAGGTGGGTTGATTGAGTTTGTAAGACATAACTGGTAGAAATTGGCGAAGATTATGGCGCAAAGAACGAACTGATCACCACGACTTGTTCATGTTATTTACATGTCAAAAATGTCCGCATTTTTACATGTTCGGACACACGCACCTCTCTGAAAAACCGGTTGGTTGCTGCTTCAACCATAGCAAAAACTTGACACGATTTTATTGGAGAAGAGGAATGCGCACACAGTCGACCACCACACTCACCCAAGAGAAAATTACTACTAAGACGGTGTGCCACACAGAGGTTAATTCACTGAGCCAAGCTGGTACAAGGGCCTAGCTTTTGACGCAGTAAATGGCGGGATTCTTTGTTTCTTCGAAGAAAACAGAACGCGTCACTTCTTACTTCACGTTAATTAAATGTGATGCATGATGCGTTCTCGGGATCACGGCAGCGTGTCCACCTTGGATATTATTTTATACGAATCAGATGAACGAACAATATACTACCGGAAGACGGCTTTAAATCGGATGGTAATGATATTAGTTGGCTTCTCAATAAAAATTTGGATTTATCTATGTTCCTTAAATCATGTCCATTTAATCTTTCTGGTACAAGTCTAAATCCCTACAAAAACATTAAACACAAATTTTCCGTTAAATAAGAAAATATTTCAAGAGGCCAGCAGTTTATCCATGTCTAATTTCAATTAACAGCGTAAAGGTTTCGACAGCAAATATTGATCCAGAGTCTAGACTCTAGAGCCTAGACGTAGGAGAGGAGTGGTAAAATGTACGAATTTGGAGCGATTTTATCAAGTGGCAAGGCTTGTCGTAATTACGATAGAAAATATATTGTAACTTGTTCGGGAATTGTATGTCGATTCTAGACTTCCGCGAACTTAAAAAAAATTGAACTGCAAACGCTATACGCTGGCAATGAAAAATAGCGGCCTCGATTTTTAACGCTTAACTGGAATTCGGTAGCCCGAACAAAGTTCGGAATCAGTGTGAAATAGTTAGGTTATCAAAATAAAGCCTACTGCATTATAAGTTATAACCATGCTATTTAAGAGCATGCACGCTGCAAATAATTATTACGTAAATACATCATATTTTATGAATTAGTTAGCGTTTGTTAAGTCTGGAATCCAGCGTTTTCTACATATACGACCTCGAAGAAAACACCTATCAAGAAAACTTGTAAATTGCAAACAAACTGTTAAATATCGGTAAAAAAGGATGTTCTTGTTGGTGACTGAACAAAGTGTTGCCTAGCAGTCCATGTTGAAAGACAAACTTGATTATAATTTAAAATTTAATTTAAAATATCCATAATAGTACTATGTTCTGCAAGAAATGCTCAAAATACCTACATGGTGCACCAGTAATTTGACGGATAATTGGCAATAAATCTCCACTTTACAGTGCTTTAAGGATTGAAAGGCTCTACAATAATTGTGACCAAAACAATAACCGAGTGCGGACTTCACGCCGACATTGCTGAGGTAAAAAAAATGGCATTCCATGCGAAGGGAACTGCGTATCCTGAACTACCTCCACGTGCGGTGTTGAAAAGTACGGTAACACCGGCAGAACTGCCTCAACGATTTGACAATCACGATTTTCTCACAGCATTAGGTGAAACAAATCACAACTATCAATGTAGAATTCACACTATAAATAATGGTTCATTTTGACAAAATGTTACGTGCTATCAGTCCGCGGCAAGGACAAAGAAATGTGTCTTTGATGGCCGACACGAGACCAGTCCATATTAATTTGCTGTTAAAACAAATGATCGAGTCATCTTATCAGTATGCAGGCGATGCGGCAAGACTCCTGTTAAAGAATGGAGTGAGTACAGAGATTTGGACGGTGCGCAGTCGTGGCAATTGCCACCCGGCAGCATTGGGTCCACAAGCGGCATGCATGGCATGTGCGCAAAACGACGCACAAATAAAAAAGAGGGCTTTAGTTGATTTCAATACTTTTAATTTCTAACAATCTTCCAGAATTATACTTGAGATACTCGAATACGCAGGCCGAAGGTCTTGCATCATGAATGTAGCAGCTACCTGAAATAGATTGGAGGAGACAACACTGGAGATCTGCGGGAGTAAACAGTAATGATGACAGTATCTCACAGTGCGTCGTAACGCGGCATTGATCTTTGTCGATAATAACAACCAAATCTCAAATTACGCTTGATACGAAACGTGTTAAGCTTTACTATTTTAGTTCATCTCGTACTTTTAGACAAGCAATGCAGTTTAATAGAGACCGCTTTAAAAATATCTTTATAATATAGTGATTTTTTTCTAACTATATCGGTGCATTTAAGTGCATTTTGTGGACGAGTCAGTTTAGAATAAAAAGACTGTTCACTTGTGGCACGAGCTCTCAGTTTATTTAATTGTAAAACAATAAATGGTTTGGGACGCTCTACAAATCACAATTCAGTTATATGGACATGTTGATGAGAAAAGCCTCCGACGGAATGCGCATCAGGGTGGCCCTATGACTGGAATGCCAAGTGCAACGATGTCAAATTATTTGGAATCTGCAATTCATCAAAGTTTCCAGAATGGTTCTCGAATATTTTTCGGCACATACAAGTAAAAAAAATTTGAAGCAGCACATTGGAGCCAACTGCGCATGAAATATACTCGTATTGTATGCACACGTTCTAGAATTCACGACAATATGATGGCGCTCTATTAACTGCTAACGTAAGACATTTCCACAGGGTGATTCACGGAAACTTCATGATTTGAAAGCTCGGTAAAAACGCATAATGATATTATTACAATATAAATTTTATTGAAAAATACATTACCTGAATTTGTGTATCACTAAGTTTTGAAGACTTCGAACTAATGACGGCCCCTTCATTGTCAATGCATTTGAGCATCCTGGCTAGCAACCATCCCTACTTCCTGGCTACCTGGCTACCTCCTGGCTAGCAACCATCCTGGCTATAACCAACCATCCCTGGCTAGCAACCATCCCCCTTTAATCCACTAAAGAAATTGCATGTTTTGTGTCAACCTGCCTGGTCAGATAAATGTGCTCATATGACAGTTCAGCACCAGCCCTGTAACCGAAAACATTATAACTTGATTCACACCCGTATTATAAATCCAGCTTCTCCCATCATCAGTGTACCTCGACAGTTTCCAATCCAGCATTAGTTACCGATCTTTACACATTCAGTTAGTCAATTTTCGCAGTTCTGTTCAACTCGCAGAAGCATACTGACGGGGATGTTGGCGATGGTTTGGAATTTGTTGTTCTTCAAATGAGGTATGGTTCTTAGACAGTCATTTTACATAATTGATTTGAGATACCTCCGTCAAAAATCACACGGAGCCAAATCAGGGGATTGCATGGGCCGGCCGAAGAAGGTCACCTCTCACGGAGATGAGACGCTGTGCAAAATGTTGTCTCAGAAGATCCATTGAGCATCGTGCTGTATGGACCGTGGCTCCATCCTGTTGGAACCAGACATCCCTGACATTCATTTCAGCCAAATTTGGCCAAAAAAGGCGTCAATCATTTGAGTGTACAGAGCTCCATTCACCGGCAAAACTGGACTCGCACCGAGTACTGGACTCGGCAAAACTGGACTCGCACCGAACCTACAATGCGCGTTCGTTTTCCTAAGATCAATATGGGCCAATTATGCCGACTGTAGACACCGCACACCATGCAAACAGTTACGCGTTGTTGTTGTTGTTGTTTATTGCGACATCGGTCGCAATAAACAGTTACGCGTTCACAATGAAGTGGCCGCTGACGGAGTTCATAGGGATTGTGATCACTCCAATAACGCATGTTTGGCTTGTTTACGCTGCTGGAAATGTGTAAGTAAGGTTCATCACTAAAGAAAACGACTGTATGTAAACGACTGCAAGTTCTCAAGAAGCCCTTTCTTTACATGCTCGACCTGAAGGACGAAAACGGAATCGAGTATAGAATGCTCGTTGAGTAGCGATAACGGAACGGCCATTGGAAAAGTACGCCTCGACAGCAAAAGCAATTCATAGTGACAACTGACTAGGCGGGACACGAAACTTCATGACCTTGCCTTTGATAAGAAATACTCCGCTCATTTTTCCTACAACATCTGGTTGCTTGGCGAGAAGTAAAAAACAGGAAGTTTCCGCAAATCGCCCTGTATGACCCCTATATCATTTAAAATCTAAACCAACTCAGTTCAATAATACCAGCTAAGAAAAAAGTGGCCAAGCAACAGGCGCTAGATATTTTTAGACAGATTTAATGAATGAGAACAGCGATAAAAAAAAATGAGGGCCAAGAGATACCTTCATGTGCGTCATCACAAATTACGAAGAGCATGATGTGCTTGATAAAAAGTTACACCAGAATACCAATGCGATTAATTCATGGATTGAGAAAGATTGAGAAAGAATCACTGAGGCGCAAAAACTTTGTTGTCAAAATGAAACTTTTAAATAACCAGTCATCAGAATAAAATTCCTCTGCCGGCATCGTAGAGTTTACAATTATAACTGCAGCAAATGTAATAACAACAAAATACCAAGCGCATCGAATTTTATATCCTATGCAGCTTTGTAGGCAAGTCCGCACTGTGCTGAAGCAAATGACATTCAAGTCGGCAACCTACGAGCTTGACAAGAGAATGTGTAAAGCGTCTACAGCACGCAAACACTAAAACAACATAGATGGAGAGCTCAATTAATGCTCCAGTTAAAGTAAGGCTATGCATTAATTGATGCACGCGATCGTAAACATTCTTTCATTACGAACCGACAATAATATCCCACCGTAAGACGATTTGTTTATTGCAATAATAAATAAAATAGACTGTTTCATCATCTATCTTGAACAATCAAGTTCTCAAAGCTGGAGCAGAATGAGGATTCATTAAACAATATCTCGAAGCGGGAAAATTTTTTTCATTGTAACGGGAAAATTATTAGCAATAGAGATAACATATTGGGATTGGAGGATAACAAATATTTTAAAATTACGTATGTGTACCAAAATGATACAGTTTGCTTGAAACCGACAAAAGAGGAAACAAGTCTCGTGACGCTAAAAGATGTAAAAGATGCGACTCGGTCACAACTACGTATGAGCGAGGACGAATGAACACTAATGAAGAAAAATTTTCCTCTTCTTACCAATGTTTGATCCTGGCAGGACATCGATCTGAGTTGCTAGAGCGTACTTAAATCTGTTTAGGTAAAAAAAGTTTTACGCAAAAATGAAATAG